GAAGCCGCTGAAAGCCGCTCGCTCAGCTGGTCTGACCGCGGGGACGAGGTCGTGGGTGCGGGTCCGCGGGGAGAGGGGAACCGCGTCGAGGATGCAGGATGCGCGGAGGTGAGGGAACCGCGTCGTGGGTGCAGGATGCGCGGGGAAGAGGGATACCGCGGCGGTGGTGCGGGTATCGTGGGGAGAGGGGAACCGCGCTCGCGCTCGCCGTGTTCGCTGCCTCCGCCGCCGCCACCGCCGCCGCCGCCGCCGCCGTTGCGCACGGGTCCCACCCCACGCTTATCGCTTGCGAACCCACCCGTTATCGCTCGCGTTCGCAAAGAGGAAGAGGAGAAGAATTAAAGAAAATATTATTAGGATTAAAATAATAGTTGTTTTTAAAAAAGTTATGTATTATATAATTATAGAATATACGAAAAACTATGAATTTATTCTCCAATCCGCCTGCCCGTTGCCATCTGCAACAGACAAAGGAGACGTATATTTACAAAAATGTGTAAAAGAAGAAAGAGGGATAGCTATTTAAAAAATACTTTCATTAGTTGTCATAAGCAACTGTTCTCTCTCGCGAGCTCTCCTCCTCCCGCGAGCTCTCTTGCGGGCTCCTCGCGCCGCTGTCCCCCGGCGCCTCCTCACGCGGGGACGTCCTCGCGCCGTCGTCACAGTGGGAGAAAAGGTCCCCTTTTTGGACAAAAATCAGCCGATAGTGTAATTCTTAACTGATTTTAATGATTTTGTTTTTAAATCTTCTTGTTATAATCTATCCTTTATCATACACTTGCTGATTTTTTAAAATAAACATAAATTTTAAAATGGCCGATAAATATATTTGTCAAGAATGTTAGAATTGTGAATATTTTGCATTATAACAAGTATATGCACTTATTTCTTGATTGAAATAGATATTTACTTTACTTTTTAAGTAATTATGAATTATAAAAGTATTAATAAATAAAAATATCGAAAGCTCTTGATTATCCAGTCTCTTAAGCCTCGGAAAATAGGTAATGAAAGAAAACTTTATTATAGTGTTTCAAAATCTCTAATGTCATTTACATATAAAAATATGCAACAAAAAGTAAGAATTTTCGTTTAAAAATTTTAAAGTGAAATTCATATAATCAGCAAGGAATAGGAATACATTTCAAAACAGAACTCAATAGTTTAATCTGTGTCAAAATTTTTGTTTTAAGACGTTTTATTTATTTTTTTACTAACATTGCACAAGCATTGTAATAGCATGTGTAAATTTATTAAATTTTTAATAAAACGGCCGAATTTTTTATTGTTTATTTTATTCATAATGCAATATTTCAGCTCTTTTATAGTGTCAAGGTATCAGTCACAAAAAAGATTTTGCATTTTATTTTTTTCTGTTTTCTTCTTTATCTTTATTTATTTTTGTCTTTTTTTTTGTTTTTATGTTTTTTGTCTTAAAAAATTTTTTTTTGTAGTTTTCTTATTTTTTGTCATTCATTTTTTTTAGCATTTTTTAAAAATATTTTTATTTTAATGAATCAAGAGGTCTTTAGCTTCCGCAGATAAATCTTTAATTATTTTTTCTTTATTTATTCTTATGCTACTAATTAAAGGA